CACAGCCTAACACCTTAGCATGGCACATCCGATCCTCTCCAGTTCTTACCCAAACCTACCTCCCTGGCCACGCTCGCCACTCCCTCTTTTCTGAATTTCCCCAGTATTCTCTGGTTCTTCTGTCCCTCACACTTGCTGTTCTCTGAGCCTGGAACAGGTTTTTACCACACCTTCCTTGCTTTTCAAAATCAGCACTTACTCTGCCTCTTCTGTGACTCCCATTACCAGAGGACTCGGGCAGAATCAGTCCTTTATTCCTTTGCACAACAAATTGTGCTTTTCTTGCTCACTAGATGCTTCTTGGCGGGAGAGTTCCTGAGCCCTGGACCTTATCTTATTGGTTTATTTATCTTTTTTTGAGTTCAACACAAGGCTTAATGCCTTGCATAATAATTTGCTGAATTGAAAATAACTGAAGTTTTTAAAAGCTCAGTTAACCAAGTTGATGATACTACATTATTAATGGAAACACAGAGGAACAGATTTAGGTTTGGAGCATGTTGACTTTGAGATGTTTCTGTTACATTTAGGAAATGTCCAGGAGGTACTTGAAAATAGGTGGAAAGAGGAAGGACAAGTGCTAGTGTACTACATATATGTGATGCTGTGAATCATGGGAGTTGTTGAGGTCACATGTAGATTAAGAAGATACAGTGGCTAGCGGGCAGGGAACAAGAAGAAAAATGACTGATGATAGTTAATTTTCATCATCTTTAGTAGGATGTAATGGCCTGGAAAAAAAATTCAGGGTAACAGATTTAAAACAAAAACAAAAAAGGATAATTCATGTGTATTTCTTTAAAAAAAAACACACACAACCAAAAACAACCATATTTTTAAGACCAAACAAAATGTTTTCATACATTATTGATTCCTGGCCTTTACTATCCTAAAATGGTTTTTACTATCTGTGTATTGGAAACTTTTTAATGTAAAACTGGCTGCAATATCAACTTATTGCAATGTATGTTTCTTAAGATTAAACAATTCTTTCTTTCAAGGGCAAGAAATAATATATTTTTGCCTCTGGGGCGGGGGGCCTGACCTTTTCCTAAGAGAAGAAAGGATGCAGTGCTTTCTTTGCTTGTGGGTTTCCTTTTGTTCACTTTTGACCTAGATATTGGTGGTTGTGTTCCAGTCCTCCTGCGTATGCCCGCGAGGATTGGGAGTGGCGTGGACTCCAGCAGCAGCACCTTTTTTCCTGTAGAGATTAGAACCCAGGAGCTTGCTGCCCAGCTTGCACAGGCTCAGGACAGAGAGGAGGAAGAAACAAGTGTAAAGGTTTTGGTTTTGGAAAGAAGTTGGAATCTTCCTGGCCCTGGGACCTTAGGATCCACAAAATTGCTGAAAGAAAAAGTACCGCTTGTTGAAAGGTAAGATATTCAACTGTTTTAAGGTTTAAGCTATTTAAGCCACAGTAGCATACTCTCACAAGCTGTGACAGCAAGCAGTCATGTCTGCTCACCTGGAGTTTTTTTTGACATAATCATCCATCTAGCCTTCCTGGTGAGATGGAGACCCAGTGGCTGGGAGGTGTGTAGTGAGTTATAAGGAGTTACAAAGTGTCACTCCCTTTAAAATGATAGTTCCTGAGTGCCAGGCATTGTGCTAGGTCTTGGGTATACAGGGGTCACTGAGTCATCCTACCTGTCTTCCAGAAGTTCTTACTCCAGGGAAAGAAAAAACGTGATTACAGTGTGATAAGTGCTATAATAACTATGTGATGTGTGTGATAAGGTGGTCTCAGTCTGAAGCAGTAACATTTGTGTCTTAAAGGATTAACAGGAGCTCATGAGGTTGGAAAAAAGGGATGGGCATTTGAGTTCGAATTCTGTGTTCAAAGACAGGTCTGAGAGAGCATGCTGGAGTGGAAAAACACACTCAATTACAGGAATTACTCTCTGGCTGTTTGCTGTGGACAGAAGAGGGGCGAATGATGAGGTGTTGCTTGGTAAGGTAGGGTCAGGGATAGAGGCCTTATTGGTTGCCAAGGAAATTTTAACTTAGCTGATTAGCTATGGAGATTTTCTTTTTTTAATGTGGTAGTATTTTAGTCCCAAGATACACAGGAGAAAAAAAAAATATATATATATGGTGTTAAAGTAAGTATGTGTCTGAGGCTCTCTAATTGGGTTCTCATCTGTGTCTTTTTTTTTTTTTTTTTGCTAATATTCCTGGTATCCTTGTGTGCTTACTGGGTTGATTCTAAACTTTGTGGGTTACTAACGAGAAGGATTTTGACGTAGACTGTTGAGAGCTCCTAACTCTACAATTTGTGCCAACATTTACTAAAGTACATTATGCCTCAGCCTAAAATCGTTTTCTTCATTCTGAGGGAAAACTAAAAACTGACTCAAGATTATGGCTGGTTAAATGCTGTCACAAGGAGGTGGCCAACCTTCTTGTGGAGAATCATGACCAAAACTGGGTCATAAATTTATGGAGACTCCAGGGAAAAGAAAGCCACCCGAGAGAAGTCAGACTTGGCCCTGAACGAACCTTTGCAGGAATGAGATGGTTTGAGGGCTTGTTCATGGGCTCTGATTACACTCTACAGGCTCTGATTGCAAAGTAGAAGCCAGACACAGATCTAGGTTTTGGAGTTGTTGGTTGGTGAGCATTGAGTGACCATCCTGTTAGGGTAGCTCAGGACTTGATGATGTCACAAATCTAGGGACCCGTGGGAAGATGGTGACCCTCCGGGAAGATCGGGGTGACATGCTGAGGGAGGCTGCATTCTGTGGATCGTGACCTTCACTGAGACAAGAGAACAGAGAAGAAAGGATAACTATTGGATATATGACATTCACATATAGGTTTCAGCCATACTGAGACCGGAAGTACAGCCAGGCTGGGGGAAGGCCCACGTAGATAGTGATGCTGGAGCTGTAGGAATCTGATCTCAGTATGGCAGCCAATTTCAAAACTACCTCTCATCTGGTCTGAGATGAAAGAAATACGTTGTGAAGAAATACATTTTTAAAGGCATCTGCCAAGATTGGGAGGCTGAATTAAAAGCCATGGATTTCAGGCCAAATGCAGAGCATTTCTATAACATTAGCCCCGAAAAAAATAGAGGAAGAATGGAAAAATTCTCAAAGGATATATTGAAGTACCAAAATGAGATACATCAGGAGACATGGGCTTTAGTTTTCACACCTGTCATTATGGCCTATAAAGTTTAACTCTTTAGGTTACAAGCTCTAGAAAGTAATAATGGCTTATAAAAGGAAGAATTAATTGATAGTTGAGTTGTGTGGCAGTTGCCACAAGAAAATCTTTTTTTTTACAGAAATGAACGTATAGGGAGTGAATTTGAAAATAATATCAGCTCTTCTTGTATCACACACAATTCTCATATTGGTCCTCTGTAGTGTCATGGGGACTTTAGGTATAGCTATATCTAACTATATTAGGTACTAGTTATCTAATTTCACATTCTAGTCAGAAGTTGAAAATACTTTGAATGTAATGAAAGAGATTTGTCACTGAAATTGTGCTCATTCAACTTCAGAAATCTTAATAGAAAATATGCAATGACTTTAATGTCTACAGGGAAGGTTTTTGTCATTAGCAAACTTCTTATTTGAAATCTATGGAACTACATTTGGAGGATTCAGGAGAAGGCCCTGAATAGACCCCAGGACCTCTGTTTGGTAGGAGAGCACCAGATGCAGATTTTGAAATGTCTGCCTAAGAATCTGTAACTTTATGGACTTTGAATAACAAATTCATCTAAAAAAGAAATCCTCTAGGTGAAAAAGATCTTTGTTTTCATAATGGTTTCTGTGTACTTACTTATAAAGAATTGGTTGTGCTTTTAGTTTTTAACATTTTTTTAGACACAACACAAAATAGGTTTCCTGTGTGATAAAAGCAATTCATAACCTAGTTTAGTAGCTCTTCAACCAATGTAGCTCAATAAAAGACTGGCATTTATCCCTGTTGGAAATTGATTAAAATTATAGAAGGTTTTAAGAAATGTTTTATTTGTGAACATTTGTAAACAGAGCAGCATTTCAGAGTGTTGTTTTCAACATGTTTATATGATGAAATAAGATTTACAAGTTGCCTTGTTTATGAATTGGGCTGTGACAAGATTTGTAATAGTAAAGTACTGTGTATTTGTAACATGTTTTTATATAATGTGTTATTTGATATTCAAAACAGCACTGTAAGATTAGTAGAACAATATTATTATCTCTATTAAAAGAAAAAAAAAAAAGGCTAAAAATGTCACCCAAATCACAAAGCTAGCCTTTGACCACTATGCTGCATAGATGTTTCTTTGAGATGAACATAATTCAGTTTTATAGGCACAGACTGGCTTTGTCTGCTTTTTGTTGTCTCAATCATTGCTTTCAATAGAAAGCTTTCTACCTAAGGCTGGAAAATGATTGTGAATATGTACAATAGAGACATTTTTTCCCATCAACAGTTACTGAGAGTAGGTGTCAACATGTTCTTAAGTTATAAGAACGCAAATACATCCTTAGTAGCACAACACTGGCTAAAAAGGCATCATTAATTATTATTATTAAAGGTTTGTATTTTTCTAGGAGGACTAACTATACTCAAGAATTTAGGGAGATATTTTTTTATTACACTTTATAGCTATCTTTAAAGTTCTGGAAACACATTAATGTGCCTTTGAAGAGGGATGAGAAATTAAAAAAAATTATTATTGATTTCAGAGAGGAAGAGAGAGAGATAGAAACATCAATGAGGAGAATCATTGATCAGCTGCCTCCTGCACACCCCCTACTGGTGCCTGCAACCCGGAGATGCGCTCTGATCGGGAATCAAACTGTGACCTCCTGGTTCATAGGTAGATGCTCAACCACTGAGCCATGCCAGCGGGGCAGACATTTTTTATTTTGACAGTGCTTTTACTCAGATTAACCTTACATAATTATAAAACTCTAGGTTTGACTTAAAAGATTATAAACTGAGGCATTTTGGGAACTGTCTGTGAAATTGGACACCTTGTTATTTTACAGGATGAAGAGACTCGGAAAGATTATGACTACATGCTGGATCACCCAGAGGAATACTACAGCCATTACTATCACTACTACCGCAGGCGCCTCGCCCCCAGAGTGGACGTTAGGCTTGTGATTCTGGTCAGTGTGTGTGCCATCTCGGTGTTTCAGGTGTGTATTGGTGGATGTGTGTGTGTCTGTATATGTGCTAGAGTGTAAACCGCCTGGGGCTGGTCATTAGAACTGAACTAGAGCCCTGGCCCATGTGGCTCGGTTGGTTGGGCATCATCCCTTGCACTGAGAGGTGGCCAGTTCGATTCCCTGTCAGGGCATATGTTCGGGTTGCGGGCTTGATCCCCAGTAGGGATGTGCAGGAGGCAGCCAATTAATGCTTCTCTCTCCCTTCCCCTCAACCACTGAGCCATGCCCGTCAGGCTATAATGCTGTGATTTCTTAAAACAAGTTCCTTACCAGTTAGTTTTGTCTTTTAACGTTTCCTCCAATAAGTAGACTGCAGTCTTGAGAGAGAACTAGATATAGGGAAGAGCCAAACAGTAAAGATGTGAAGTCGCAGGTGTGTGATCCCATTGATCTATGTAACATCTAACCTTGGGTATCTCCTGTCTGATTTAATGGCTTTCTGGCTCAGCTCAGGGCTTACCTGACTTACCAGCCTTGTAAATAGAGGCATTATTCAGTTGTATCTTTTACTTGAAGAGTAGGTTATTGAGGTCCCTGTTTTTTAATCAGAATGGGTTTTGGGGAGGGGTGGTGCTAAGATGAATTCTGGTAATAAAAATCACCCGTTTTTATTTGTTAAATATCCTAGTTTTTCAGTTGGTGGAATAGCTACGACAAGGCGATCAACTACCTGGCCACAGTGCCCAAATACCGCATCCAAGCCATGGAAATTGCTAAAGAGCAGGGGTTGCTCAGAAAAGCCAAAGAGAAGGGCAGAAACAAGAAATCTAAAGAGGAAATTCGTGATGAGGAGGAGAACATTATAAAGAACATTATAAAGAGTAAAGTGGATATAAAGGGAGGCTATCAAAAACCCCAGATACGTGACCTTCTCCTGTTTCAAATTCTCTTAGCTCCTGTTCACCTGTGCTCTTATATAGTCTGGTACTGCCGGTGGGTCTATAACTTTAATATCAAAGGCAAAGAGTATGGGGAAGAAGAAAGACTATATCTCATACGTAAATATATGAAGATGTCAAAGTCTCAGTTTGATAGTCTAGAAGATCACCAAAAAGAAACTTTTCTTAAAAGGGAGCTCTGGATAAAGGAGAATTATGAGGTAAGTAACAAGTCTTCTGGGATTTTTATGTCATCTTCCCATACCAAGGTAAAATTAGGTGTGTGGTAAGAATCACAGAAGTGCACTCAAATTTCTGAAATCCAAGAGTGAGACTGGCCCGACACGCCCTGGAGCCTCCCGCAGTCCCTTCCCAGCCCTGATTGTGCACTGGTGGGGTCCCTTGGCCTGACCTGCACCCTCTCACAATCCGACACCCCCCCTCCTATGCACAAATTTCGTGCATTGGGCCTCTACTGTTATTATATGAAATTATCTTGGTCATTACTTCCTAAATTTGGAAGTAGAGTAATTCCTTTGTAAAATTTGATATAACTCTGAAACTGGTTATGAAAACTTGTCCATTTAGTGTCAATTGACATCCACTGAAAGTTACAGAGTTGCATGTTTTGTTCTTAATCCATGTGGTTTATTTAACCTTTGATAACTTTAGTAAAAATATTTTGAAAAACCAATAATTATTTTTGAAGATAAAAGTGGATTGGATGTAGGTTCAATTTGGAGACAAATGTATATACCAGATCATTTTGGTTAGGATCAACAAATACCAAAAGCCACCAGATTAATTTACAGAGAACCACGTTAAAAAACAAAGTGTGATTGATTCTTAATATTGGACACTAATTGCAGAGAGGAAATGTTTAAGTCCTGTAAACTCAGCTTGTGTATGATTTTAATGAGGGCTAGTCCTTGTACAAGCTGTTCTTTAATATTTAACACTGAATGTTCAAGTGCTTGACTGCTTGGTATTTTTAGTGCATGGTCTTCAGAAGACAAACCAACCCATTCATTGGACACTTTTATCTAACTCATATTTGAAAAATGTAAATATGCCAGAAAGCTTATGATTATAAAGTCAGTGTTTTTTATACTTACAGGTCTACAAACAAGAACAAGAAGAAGAGCTAAAGCAAAAATTGGCCAACAACCCTCGGTGGAAGAGATACAGGAGATGGATGAGGAATGAAGGGCCCGGGCGGCTAACATTTGTGGATGACTGAGGGCTGCTGGAATGCTACTGTGCCAAACCTTAATCGTGATATTATTTTCATAACTGAATTATTTTAGAAATGTTTCCACTGCTCCTCTGCAGTAACGGAAATTCCTTAAGTATTTGATTAAATAGAATAATGAAGAAATTTAAACTTTACCTTAAAACTTTATACATGAGACATTTATGATTGTTCAATTTTTATAATCTATTTGTGGGTTTTGTTAAAAGATTTAACATGAAGATTTATAAGTTGCCATTTAAAAATTTTATATGTTTAGTTAAAAGATTTGACATGAAAATTTATTAGATATCATTGAAAATGTTTACGTGTTAAGTGCTTATTCTTCAAACGGGTTTCCGTATTCTGTTATTGTGCTCATTTTTCTGCTTTTGTGGCCTCTGATATTTTCACAAAACATAAAACATAACAGCATTTCATTATATTATTCTGAGTGTCTTTCTAGACACAAACTTCAACAAAATGATTTCAACTGTCACTTCATCTTCATTATAGTTGTTCTGGGATTGAAATATGTTCAGAACATATCTCTAGGAGAGTCCTCTAGAATGTGTTCCCACTCTTCCTCCCCAGTCATATCGATAGTATTCCTGAGAAGGTCATAAACTCTCCAGGAGAGTGACTGCGTTCATGTCCTTGTAGGATGATCTTGATTACAGTCATTATAGGACTATGACTTTTTTCAAACATGTTTCCAGAAGAGACTTTGTACAAAAGGCCTTTTGTACCACAGTATTGCTTTTTACCCCCACTTCAATTTTTAAAAAGTAACGAAGCAGAAATAGTGTACTGAAAAGTTATTCATATACTATGAAGTCCTTGAGTGGCAAAAAAAAAAAAAAAAAAAAATCCATTGTACATGAGTGCATTTACATACATTGAAACCAGAAAAAAAGGAGTGACTATGTGCTGTTCTTTCAATGAGATATAAACAATGAGATACAGTTTATACATGTGGAGGTGAAAATGATTCACACATAATTTGACTGAAGCAAGTATGATTTTCACCAACGTATCAATGCACATGCGTGGTAGGGAATCAATACTGCTGTCGAAGGATTTATCCCATGCTTCATATGAATAAAACGGTTGCAATGTGTCACGTTTGTTGGTATGACATTTTAAATCAAAGATGAACATTTTTTTTTTTTGTTACACAGTTTTTAAAGATTAGGATAGATAGTATGTTGTTATGAGAACTGAATAAGATAGGAGTAAAGTGCTGGCAAACATGAGTGTCAGCAAATGTTTCCTTACCTTCGGAGGGAACAGGAGCCATTCATTCTCGTTTGTTAAAATCCAGGGCAGGAGGGCATTTCTTTATTCATTTAATAGGTGTTTGAATTCCTCACCTTGCTCGAGGTGTAGTACATGCTAGAGTGAGAAAAGCGATGCTCCTTAGAGTTGGAGTTGTATATTTTAAAATAGCTGCGGGCCTCTTGTGGCCTTGGGTACAAGGTGAAGCAGCTAAGATGACAGCTCAGAAAAGAAACTTCCAGAGACATCAGAATCATCAGCTGCTCACTAGTAGAAGGCTTACATGTCCGGAAGGGACACTTTAAATGAGATAAACAGGCATGCTTGAATGGTTGCTCAAAAGGACATCAAGTAGCCCTAAGTTCCACTGCCTCAGAAAGTCTCAAAAATGCCCAAGCGCTGGCCTGTGTGGCTCAGTGTTTGGAGTATCATCCTGTGCATCGGAAGGTTGTGGGTTTGATTCCTGGTCGGGCACACCAATGTTTCTCTCTCTCTCTCTCTCTCTCTCTCTCTCTCTCTCTCTCTCTCTCTCTCTCTCTCTCTGTAGTTTTTATGGTGCATTGTTTCCCTCGTTATAGTTAGTGGAGGTGCTTTCCTGTTTCTTCGAATCGTTTTAGAAAACCAGTGGGGTATATTATTGCTATTTTCATGTAACACTGGCAGAAACACCTCCCCGCGTCGTTATTTTTATGGAGGAGAGTGCGCCCGGGGATTGGGAGAGGAACCCACAGTTATAAAGGGGTGACAGGTACCTGTCGGAGGCGGGAAGAGGTAGAGATGAAGCCGGGGAGGCGTGAGCTCCGCAGGACGCGGGGCCGGTGCGGCCGGTGCGGCCTCGCCCGCCCGTTGGGAACGCGGAGGCGGGGTCCCTGGCGGTTGGGTCCCAAACCGCCGCTCACCTGCGGCTCCTCCCGCGGGGCGGGCGGCGGGGCGGGCGCAGCGGTTGCCCCGCCCCGGCCCGGCCCTCGGCGCTCGGTCCCGGCCCTCCGCTCCGCCGCCGCCGCCGCCGCCGCCATGTCCTCCGGGGCCAGCGTGTACGCCCTGCAGCGCCTGGTGGAGCAGCTCAAGCTGGAGGCCGGCGTGGAGCGGATCAAGGTGCGGGCGGGCGGAGGGCGTCCCAGGCCGCGGGGGACGCCGCCGAGCCGGCGCGGGGCGCGGGGCCGGGTGCGGCCGCGCGCGGCGGGCGGGGCGGCGGGAGGAGGATGGCTGGGCCGGAGGGATGGGAGCCGCCGCCGGGCCGGGCGGGACCCAGGCTCCCGGGCGGCGGGAGGTGGCCCGCGGGGAGGGCCAGGAGGCCGGGGCGCCGGGCCTACTGGCCCCGCGGGGGCAGCGGGGCGGGACTGAGCGCCCCTCGGCGTTTCCTCGTCGGGGCGCGAGGATGAGGCCGGGGATGCGGGGCGACCGAATGAATGGACGGCCTGGGGGGTGGACTGGGGGGGAGAGGCGCTGCCCAGGGTTCCGGCGCCGTGACCGCGGCTGGCGCGGCCGTTCGCTGCAGCGCCGGGGAGGGGGAGTGGGAACGGAGGGAGGGAGGGAGGGAGGGAGCCACAGGGAGGAAGGGGGACGACGAGGCCAGTTTTGGATCCGTGGGCTTCGAGGGGCGTCCAGAAGGTGTTGGGCTACATGGGCCGAAGCTCGGAGGCCAAGGCTGAAGGATGCAGTGGAGAGATCTAGGGTGGGAAGGGGTATTGGCGAGAGGCGGGGCAGGGAGCCGGGCACCTGCAGAAGAGAAGGCTGAGGAGGAGCACGTCCAGCGGGTGTTGTCTCAGTTGCTGAAAAGGCGTCTGTGCTGAGCAGCTGGGACAGGCAGCATCAGCTGCGGAGTGTGTGTGTGTGGACACTGCTGTGTTGGTCCATGACCTCGTGGGCCCGTTCTCCGTACCCGGCACTCTCCTAGGTCCTGAGCATACGGCGATTCTGGTGGGGAAGAGAAACAGGGAACACGTTACCAAGAAAATAATTTCAGACAGTGAGTGATGTGAAGTGTATAAAACACGGGAAAGAGAGACGTACAGCATGCTGAAGAGGTTTCAGCAGTAGGAGGAGCAGAATCTGGATTGTAATAATGTAGGCAGACTTAAAACGAGAGAAGTCTGGTTTTCAAAAGGAAACACTTTTTTTTTTTTTTTTTTTTTTTTTAAGTAGGAAACAAAAAAGCCATGTTTTGCGTTGAGCAAAGGAACAAATGGAGAAGGAGATTTAGAGGAAGAGGAGATGGAGGCCTAGGATTGCAGGGGGGGGGGTACTTTTGAGACAGGCAGAAAGGGGGGTGAGGATATGTATAAAGATAGATGTTTCTAGGTTAAGGACTTGTAGGATAACAGTTTTCTTTGTGAAATAGAAGGCTACATTTTCTTTGGGGCAGAGGAAAGGGAGCCAATGGAATCTCCAGAGCGAGGGTGGCGGGAGAGTGCTGTGAGGGATGGGGAGGGATCTCTTTCTTACCAGGCACATCCATAGACACCTTGTGATGTTCAAGACCCAGCTCCTGGGAGAGGGGAGACCCATTGCACTCCTTATGATTTTTCTCGTCCCGCTGCATTTGGCCACCCAGGAATCTGAGTGCCACCTGCGGGGTAGTTGATCCAAGTAAGTGGGTTAGCAGGGAAGATATGCCAGAGAGATGGAGGTGGGCGTGGAGGGCAAGGGGTTGAGGGTCTGCCCAGAAAGAGCCTGAGCCCGGGCTGGAAGGAGGCAGAACCGTGCAGCCTCCTGGCGATGGGCTGGAGGAAAGGGGAGGTGGCATTCTCTCTGAGAGCAAAGAGCAGGTGTAGCCAGGCCAGGAAGCAGCGCCCTGGATGGGAAGGAGAGATGGTGATCAGAAAGCAGGATGTGGGAGTATAACATTTCAGTTGTGGAGCAGTTAGCAGGTCTTGGCTGTGACTGTTGGCATGGAGAAGGTTGTTTGAGGAGAGGAGGTCAGGGAACTGGAACGGGTTGTAGCCAGTGTTGAAGATGATGCAGAGACCTGAGGTGGAGAGGAAAACAGCCAGATGCCTATGCTGTGAAGCAGCTAGGGAACCAATTCTTATCTACATTAAAAAATAATTATGGGAGATGAAACCGAGATCTAGAGAATTGGCGTGAATTGTTCAAGGCACACAGATAATAAATATAATTGAGGGATGTGCTCAGGGGGGCAGATCTGGGGTGCTTTAGCGGCTTATTAATATTACTGGTAGCACTTTGGGAGTGATTCTCTCTCATCATTGATGTTTCTATCTCTCTCCCTCTCTCTGAAATGAATAAAAACATTTTAAAACATTTTAAAAAGTGAGAAGAAAAACATTTTAAAAAGTGAAAAGAAAAATGGGAAGTGAAGAAAGTCTTCAAATATGCATCAAATGGAAGATAAGAAAAAAGGCAGAATAACATGGAACCAATGCTGTGACTTAAAATGACGTTTACTAACTCAATGATACTTAGGTCAGCAGTTTAAGCTGGGTTCCATTGTATAGTTCTGCTGGTCTTTGCTGGGCCCTCCTGTACATCTGCAGTCAAGTGGGGGGTTGGCTGGTGGCTGGGTAATATGGGGTGGCTTCACTCACGTATCTGGGGGTTGGCAGGCAGGTGGCTGGGGGCTGGCTTTCTGCTGCTCTTCCACACGATCTCGCGTCATCTAGCGTGGTATTATTAGATGGTGATTTCAGGATTCTAATCACAGCAAGAGAGAGAACTGCAAAGGCGCTTCTAGCCAAGGCTTGGAGCTTGCCCATTATTTCTACTACATT